GATTTTATCTAATTTTGGGCCTGACAGGCTTTTTGGATTTTTTCAGCTCATAATTACTCCTTCAACTTATCTCAAGCTAGCCATGTAAGAGGCTTTATACTACATATTTGTGTATTCAATCTTCACTGAATGGCTCTACCCCTCAAGGCACTCGGCACACAGACAGAGCATCGGAAGCCTGCCCGATGGCTTCCGATGCTATGCTACACTGCCGGGCGCCACGTGGGGCAACCCGGAAGTAATTGCTCCTAAGGAGCGATCACTCAGCGGCCTGACAGTAAGGAGAGGTATTGCAGGATGCATCACAGAGGCATCGCTGCAATACCCCTAGAGTGATCACGATTGCTTCCAGTGCTCATATTTACTGCGGACATACTAGGTTCTTCTGCAGTCCTTAAGGACCGTTTTTTGTCGGATGTACCTAGTACGTCCGCGGTCTTTAAGGGGTTAAAAAAGAACAATACATTTTCCACATAATTGACCACATTATGTTCCCATCTCCACTTACCCGTTTTGATGTAAAATTCAAGAAAAGTTACGAGGAAAGAAAAATGCAGAAGGGACAATATGCACCTGTGCTGCTGCTGCTGCGTCTACTACTTAACCACTTAGGGACACATGACATGTGTGACATGTCATGATTCCCTTTTATTCCAAAAGTTTGGTCCTTAAGGGGTTAAAGGGATACTCAATGAAGTGGTCTGGGTACAGTACCACTGTCTGTTTAACCTTGCACTGTAAAATATTCTGAGTAACTGCAATGATAACATTAACTCAACCTTTAGTGGATGTCTTCAAGAGAGCCACTAAAGGCAATTCCGGGTCCCTAACAGAGTTTTCATTCCCCTATTTGACGTTGCATGACCTCACACTTTGCGTGAGGATGTCCAACATCTTCAAATTCCCCATAGGAAAGCATTCATTTAATGCTATAGTGTTTCTTTAAGGTAGGTTCCTTACGCCAAGCTTGTTTGATCCATGCTACACAGTGTATGATATTGATATGTTCCAGATATTATGGCTTATGTTGAGTTAGAGATTCACAGCTTTTGCCTTATTTTTGGAATTCATTTGTCATGTTGTCTTGGAAGTGAGTGACTATGGAAAAAGCAGGCTTGATATTGTAGACATAGGCATGCGCACGGGGTGTGCCGGGTGTGCCTGGGCACACCCTAATCCCCGCGGCACACCTATGTATATTGAGACCGGCAGGGGAGATCTCAGGATCTCCCCTGTTGGCTCATGCAGAGCCGGTGCTATGCGAGCGCCAGCTCTGCTCTCAGCCTCCCCACCGACCCACAGGCAGGGAAGGAGGCAGGAAAGGACCCGGGGAGCTCTTGCTAGTAGCTCCGCCGGTTCCTCTCGCAGGATTCTGAGCGTTGCCGTGGCAATGCTCAGATCTCGCGAGAGTGAACTCTAGCCCCGCAGGCTAGAGTTCACTCTCCACTGGACCACCAGGGATGGAAGCAGCAGAAAGGATTCCCCCCTCCCAGGCATAAGGTAGGAAGGGAGGGGGGATATTTACTAAATGCCCCCCACACAATACACACAATCACCCAAACATACAGCACCCCCCACACACATACAGCACACACACACTAACAGCACCTTCACACACATAGCACCCTTACACACACAGCACCATCACACATACACACTAACAGCACCCTCACACACACAGCGCCTTCGCACACACACAGTGCCCCCACACACACACACACACAGCAGTGTGTGTGTGTGTGTGTGTGTGTGTGTGTGTGTGTGTGTGTATATATATATATATATATATATATATATATATATATACACACAAACGCAGCGTGTGTGTTTGTGCTTTAGGGTGCACACCCTTATACAATAGGCTGTGCACGCCTATGATTGTAGATATGGTAAAAATGGCACCTTTTATAAAGTATGTGAGCAAACACATTTAATCATTTAGTCATGGTGCAAATTAATAATATAACTTCTGAATCTCATTATGGCTTGACACCCCAACACCAATGTCACATCATCGAACCTTGGGAGAAACCTACTCTGTTACAAAACATGTACATATTTACAGATTGAATATAAAAAATGATGTATAATATACTGAGATTGTCCATCTCCTCTGCATCACAGCTAAATAATCTTGACTAGTTTGGATGTAGTAATAAAAGGTTTTATTGGTATATGCATTTAATGGAATTTGGGAATCTTTTATCTTCTGCCAAGCACCATCAAATACAAAACCGCTTAGGCTAAGTGCTGAGCAAGACAGTTAATGAATAACTTATTGATTTCTATAAAATAAGAAAATACAAAAGACAAACCTTAAAACTACTAAAGGGAGGATGGATGGCTAATACAACCCATTCTTCTTTTATGAGTATTGTGTGTTTCTAGTTTTTACACGTCTTTCATCTTTTTAAAACAAGAATAAATCATGGCACAATTTGTGAACCTGGCCAAGACCTGTTTCAGTCAACTAACTAAGCAGGGATACAATATTTTAGCCACAAAACAAACCTGTTTGCAACAGCAAATGGTTTAACCCCATAATGATCAATCACTGAATTATTCTAGGATGGTTGTCCTTCCCTTAAGAACCCATGATGGAATAATTTTGTCATTTGCCAAAATTAGCTCCAGGTTGAAGCAGAACCGGCGCAGCATTGGATGTCTGTGTCTGTGGCTGAATCACAATATCACAGCACACGTGATTGCTGCGACAGCCAGTCACAGTGATCACAGTGCTGTCAGACCTTCTGATCTTGTAAAGTGGATAGAGATGTATCAGTGTGATGCAGTGTGTTCTTCTACAAAATGATTCCTCTTTTTCCCTTCTGTTTGATCGCAACGTTATTTAATTAAAGTTACATTTAACAATACTTAGGAAGTTTAAAGTTGAGATGGCTTATATAATTTCAACAGCGACAACCAGCTCCTCAGAGAGTAAGACTCGTCCCTGCTTACAGGCGACCAACAGTGCCTCAGAGTTTGACACAACTGAATGCAACGATGACTATTGGCCTGAATATGAAAGGGTTAAAGCATAAAGACACGGTACCGCAATACTGCCACTGATACAGATGACTGGATGTTCCCTGATAACACTAGTCAACAAATTTTAACTTTTTTTTCATCTAACATGGAAAAATTTTTGTTTCAGAATAAGTCATTAGAAATGAACCAAATCTGGCACAGAAATGTTGCAACACTCACATAGTTTGTCATGTTATGCCACCATAATTTTTTTTTATCTAAAAAAGATTTATACACATAGAAATATAGAATGTGACGGCAGATAAGAACCATTTGGCCCATCTCGTCTGCCCAGTTTTCTAAATACTTTCATTACTCCCTGGCCTTATCTTATAGTTAGGATAGCCTTATGCCAATCCCACACATGCCTAAACTCCTTCACTGTGTTACCTTCTACCACTTCAGCTGGAAGGCTATTCCATGCATCCACTACCCTCTCAGTAAAGTAATAGTTCCTTAAATTATTTTTAAACATTTGCCCCTCTAATTTAAGACTATGTCCTCTTGTTGTGGTAGTTTTTCTTCTTTTAAATATAGTCTTTTTACTGTGTTGATTCATTTCATGTATTTTAATGTAATTATTTAATAATGATTGAAATATATACTAGAAAATAATTCTTATAGAACAAAAACATTTAATATATATATGGCAACAAAATATAAAATAAAAGTACTCAAAATACAATAAACAAACAAAAAATACAACAAATGAACTACATTATATAACAAAGTTTCAACTTTTTTCTTTTATGTGGCCCTTTTTCTTCCCTGTAAAGAAACCAACACTAATTGCCCATCATTGCTGGGTTACATTGTCCTTGGTATTTTCGTTTCATGGTACCTATATCCTGGTGAAACGTTTCACCTTCTTTGTCACTTACGCCGCCTAAATTGTCTGGTAAGAAGTTAAAGAACACTATAGGCATCCAGACCACTTCATTTCATTGAAGTGCTCGGATCACGGAGTGCAACCCAGCGCTGAGGGACACTGGTGTTGGCATTAGGTAAGTTTTGAACCCTTTTTGTACTGAAGGGGAGGCCTCGAGGCAGGTGACGATTGGGCACTACAGTGTTAGAAACATAGGCGTGCGCACGGGGTGTGCCGGGTGTGCCTGGGCACACCCTAATCCCCGTGCGCACGCCTATGGCTTGAGTCCTGCAGGAACAGCGTTCCTGCACTTTTTTTGAGCAGGAACGCTGTTCCTGCAGGCACTCAGCGCCCCCCTGTCTCACCTCTTGCCCCTGTCATGGGGGAGGGGGGTCAAGAGGTGATGGATAACCCCCCCGCCCCGCAGTTCAGCCGCGGCGAGGGAGCTCTCTGCTCTCTGCTGTGTCTGCTCCCTCTCGCCGCGCGCTGATGCCGGGAGCCGGAATATGACGTCATATTCCGGCTCCCAGCTCCAGCAGACAGCCCGCGCGGCGAGAGGGAGCAGACAGCAGAGAGCAGAGAGCTCCCTCGCCGCGGCTGAACTGGAGAAAGGCGCCCGCCCCCACTGGACCCCAGGGACAAGTCCACCAGCACTCCAGGTAGGAGGCTGGGTGGACATTTAAAAAAAAAAATATATATATAATAATGTGTGTGTGTGAGTATGTGTGTGTGTCAGTGTGTGTGTGTCTGTGAGTGTATGTGTGTGTGAGTGTGTGTCTGTGAGTGTGTGTCTGAGTGTGTGTGTGTCTGTGAGTATGTGTGTGTCAGTGTGTGTCTGTGTGTGTTTCTGTGAGTGTGTGTGTGTTTCTGTGAGTGTGTGTGTGTTTCTGTGAGTGTGTGTCTGAGTATGTATGTGTGTGTGAGTGTGTGTCTGAGTATGTGTGTGTGTCAGTGTGTGTGTGTCTGTGAGTATGTGTGTGTCAGTGTGTGTCTGTGTGTGTGTTTCTGTGAGTGTGTGTGTGTTTCTGTGAGTGTGTGTCTGTGAGTATGTATGTGTGTGTGTCAGTGTGTGTGTGAGTGTGTGTCTGTGAGTGTATGTGTGTGTCTGTCAGTGTGTGTGTGTGTGTACATATATATACACATATATATATATATACACACACACACATACACACATACACACGCAGAGCCGGCGCTATCTGAGTGCCGGCTCTGCTCTAAGCCTTCATGGGCCGGCGGGGAGACCAAAGATCTACCTCACCGGCCCACAGCAGCTTGGAGGGAGGCAGTAGAGGACCCAGGGAGCTCTAGACAGAAGCTCCGCCAGGTTCCTCTCGCGATATCTGAGCGTTGCTGTGGCAACGCTCAGATCTTGCGAGAGTTAACTCTAGCCCCGCAGGCTAGAGTTCACTCTCCACTGGACCACCAGGGATGGCACATGGCAGCAAGGATTTACTAATCTGCCAAATCCCTCCAAACATACAGTACACACACATACAGCACCTACACACATACAGCTCACACACACACAGTACACTAACCGCACCCTCACAAACACACACAGCACCTTTAAAAAAAACACAACACCCTCACACACAGCACACTAACAGCACCCTCACAAATAGCACCCTCACAGGACAAACATACACACACAAACACCCTCACACACAAACAGCACAGTCACAAACACGCACCCTCACACACACATAACACTACTGAAAGCACATTGAAAGCATTGACTACCAGCAATACTACAGCAGTGTGTGTGTGTGTTTATATATATAGAGCATATATATATATATATATATATATATATATATATAGAGAGAGAGAGAGAGAGAGAGAGAGAGAGAGAGAGAGAGAGAGAGAGAGAGAGAGAGAGAGAGAGAGAGAGAGAGAGAGAGAGAGAGAGAGAGAGAGAGAGAGAGAGAGACATACACACACACACACGCGCGTGGCGTGTGTTTGTGCTTTAGGGTGCACACCCTAATGCAATTGGCTGCGCACGCCTATGGTTAGAAATACAACTCTGCATTCCTAACACCCTAGTTTTCCTTTAACATGAGAATGTAGAAAGTGGACTTTTAGTGACATTCAACACCATCATTTCTTATGTATAGTTTTTGATTAATTGCTCTATTATTTTTGTATACTGTCCATCCTTCTTATTACCAAGAAGCCCTTCTACTATAGATCTTTAAAAAATCCACGCCGCTAATTCGTTATCTGCTATGATTACTTTAGTGTTAATCCAGCCTCTGGTGGCTGTCTCATTGATTTTCATGCCGCGCATGCGTATTCAGCCGATGACGACCGAAGGAGGAAGAGAGTCCCCAGCGCCGAGGGAGCCCGGCGCTGAAGAAAGGTGAGCATTTAACACCCTCCTCCCCCTTCAGCTCGACGGGAGTGGGACCCTGAGGGTGGGGCCACCCTCAGCACTATAGTGCCAGGAAAACGAGTTTGTTTTCCTGGCACTATAGTGGTCCTTTAATCTTTTAGCAATTTTTTAATCTAAGGACCAACAAATATACCTTCTCTGATTTTGGGGTTGCTTAGTTTAGGAAATGTATATTTTAAATATTGAAATGGTTTATTTTTTTGTATTTAAAGGACCACTATAGGCACCCAGACCACTTCAGCTCAATGAAGTGGTCTGAGTGCCAGGTCCATCTAGTGTTAACCCTGCAACTGTAAACATAGCAGGTTCAGAGAAATTTCTATGTTTACACTAGGGTTAATCCAGCCTCTAGTGGCGCTTCCCACTGAGAAATGGACTTCCTATGGAGTATTTGAATGCGCGCGTAAGCTCTTGCCGTGCATGCGCATTAGGCGTGGACGTCAGCAGAGGGAGGAGAGCTCCCCAGCGCCGAGGGAGCCCGACGCTGGAGAAAGGTAAGTGTTTAACCCCTTTAGCCCAGTGGGACCCTGAGGGTGGGGGGGACCTAAAGACCTTATAATGCCAGGAAAACAAGTTTGTCCTTAAAAGGGTTTAAAAATTGCTTCATAAATCCCAATTTTATATAGAGTAGCAAATGAAGTACCAAATTTGAATTTACTAATGGGTTATATTAAACATTTTTCTATCCTGGAATAAACTGTACACTTGAAGGCCA